GTACAGCAAAACCTACATAAGCTTTCAAAACATTGTTTGTCTTCTGTCTCCAAATCCTTATACTATGAGACAGAAAACAGTCCATTAGTTTTCATGTAAATCAAGTAAAGAGCCATGCATCATAATTGTATCATGTCATGGAGAAGTGTGGTGACTGGCTTCATTCTGTTTTGACTTTGTCTCTGAGGGTGTGAGCAGGATTTGCAAGAACATGCAGAACATGTTATTTACTCTGTTTTCTCCCTTCTCCCTAGGGTGTGAATTCTGTCCTTAAAAGGTATGTCTGACTGATAGAGAAAAATAGCCCTATTGGGTGGTAAAAGTGATTTTAATATTCAACTAAAATAAATGTCATGGGTTTGGGGGAATTTAAACATACTATCCTGAACTTCTGGTAAAAAGGAGGAAGGGGAAGGGGGGAAAGTCAGGATCTGACTGTTGTGAATGGGGAGTTGCAGAGTCAGGCTCAGCAGTGGGGTGAGGCAAAAGGAGCTAAGGTGCTTTCAGATTCCTTGTGATTCTGTCATTCTGTCCACGCTGTGTGTGTGTCTGGCTCTGGATCTGCATTAACAAGTACTTGATTCATCAGTTCATCCTAGGTAGGGCATGATTTCTCTGTCTGCAATGTTCACAGATTTGTATATTAGGAAAAATTCCTGTGTATTTGTGTGTTTTTCATGAGGATAGAAGAGATCCAGAGTTCCTTTGTGGTTATAATTAGATTTTCCAAAAACTGACTTGAGTCTCTAAGGACAATATTTGGCACAGGTGAGACACCTGCTCCATGTGGACCACATACTTTAGAAGACCTTGGAAAGTAGTACCCTAGTCTGTCAAGTGTCACTCCCAGGCTGTCAGCATCAGGCTGGTTCTGAACATGACGAGCTCATGTAATTATTAATTTGATGGTCCTGTCTTCTTTGCCAACTTTGTCATTATAACAAAAGAACTTGAAGAATCAGAAGAATCATGATGCTGGCCGAGAGTGTCCATATTGACAGCAAGGTTTGAAGTCTTAGCTGTCTCCTGTGGTTTTCTCACGTTCTATACCCAAGAGGAGCTTCTGCACTCAGACTTTAGACCATGTCCTTGAAAACAAACATACCCACATCATTTTTCTTCCTTTCTTTCTGTTTTTTATCTTTTTTTCTTTTTTCTTTTTGTTTTTGTTTGTTTGTTTGTTTGTTCTGGTTTTTGAGACAGTATTACCCTATGCAGCTCTGGCTGTCTTGGATCTCACCCTATAGACCAGGCTGGCCTTGATCTCAGTGATCCTTCTGACTCTGGCTCCTATGTTTAGGGATTAAAGGCATGTGATACTGTGCCTGGCCCACACATTATTTTTTAGAAACCGTAGTTTGGGTTGTTTTAAAGTTCACTAATTCATCATTTCTTAAGAAATGATGGGAGGAGAATCAGGCGAGCAAGTCTTTTGACTGTACAAGTGAGGAGTACTCTCCGCTTCTGAGAGTAAGGCTTTCCCAACATCACACAGCAAGTAAGTGGGAGGCTCATGGGTGTGTCTCTCATGTCTCCAGAGTTAGTAGTCAACCCTCTCTCCCCTTCTCAGAATTCTCAGGAGAGCTCCAGGACATCTATGGTTAGAATGATAGGGAGTCAGTGGTGGTCAGAGGTCACACTGTCTGAGATGTGGAGGTCAATGTTTTGTCCCTAGGAGTCAGACCTTAAGACTGAAACAACCTGAAATGGTCCCAAGAAAACAGAGAAGAATCTTCAGAGCTCCAGATCTGAAAGGCATGCTGCAAGTGTTTCAAGGTGAGAACAGCTACATCCCTGGGTAACTGGGCGGGGGGGATTCTAGGTGTGCTGGGGCTACACTCTGAGAAGTGAGTGATGTTTCTGAACATAGGTCAAGGGACTCAGAAGAATAGATCGTGTATTCCAGTGATGCCATTATATTTAATGGAAAATCGTCATTCCTCCCATGTTATTATATCATAATTTCCAAACCTTCCCCTAATCTGGAGAGGAGATTGACGTTAATGTTTTGATTCCTTTGCCTCCATTTTATGCTGTGAATTTTCATCCTTTCAGGGCTCATGGATGCTCAACAATACTGGGGTAAGGAGAAATCACACCATCAGCCGCTCCCTTCTTACTGTATTTCAGAGTTTTTTTTTTTTTTCTCTTCTAACCCTCATGTGTCATGTTACTTCTCCCCATATACTTCTCTCAATCTGCCTCTTCTCAACTATAAACAAGGCTCCTCCAAGTTCCCTCTCACTGTCTCCTTAGACTTCTGCTCCTTATATCACTAATAAGGCTACACTTTGCCTCTCGTGTGACTCTTATATGTCTCCTTTTTCTGCAGTTCATGTGACCCTGAATCAAGTCCACAATGAAAACATTGCTGTTAATGAGGACAAACGACAAATACAACATCGAAATAATTCTAGAAGAAATTTGCAAATTTCTGAGACCTATGGTTTGGGTGTCCTGGGATACCCAGCTTTGCACTCAGGGAAACATTACTGGGAAGTGGATGTGTCTAGAAATGATGCCTGGCTCCTGGGATTAAATGATGGAAAATGTGCTCAACCCCAACTTTGTGCACTGAATGAAAAGGGCATCAAAGTCCAATATAATTTTAATGTTAAACAACATATACTTCGTCAGCCTACATTTACCTTTGGCTCTCAAAGTTACTTTGATTTTAATTTTAAACATGATTATCAGCCTACATATGCAGTTAAAGATAATTCTAATGTGAAACAGCATGTAAATTATCAACCTAAATATGGCTACTGGGTTATAGGGATGAAGAATGGGTCTATCTATAATGCCTTTGAAGAATGTTCTGTCACTCACAATGCCAGTGTCTTGGTCCTCTCTCTGACTCGTCGTCCCAGTCGTGTTGGAGTTTTCTTGGACAGAGAAGCTTGTACTCTCTCATTTTATGATGTTTCCAACCATGGAGCTCTCATCTATAGATTCTGTGAACCTTCCTTCCCTGATGAAGTTTATCCATATTTTAATCCTATGTCATGTTTAGAGCCAATGACAGTATGTGGGCCACCCTCCTAAACCCTCACCCATATCTGCACAGTGCCCCATGTCTGATGTATCTCATATGCCTGAGCTCCCTGGCATCATCATAACTGTTTCTGCCTTTGCCCTTTCCCTTTTAATAAACTTCAGTTCTCAATACAAACCAGCATGGATTCTTTTCCTTAATCCAGTTGCTTGTCTCGTTACTTGGCAATAATTCATCATTTCCCATATTCCCAAAGAAAATGACTCTTTCCTCATTCGGTGAGGTGAAGCCTCTGCTAACCCCCTTCCTGTTTTGTGGTGCCACAGAGGGAAGGCAGGGCCTTGTGCATGCTGAGGAGGTGGCTCTACCACTGAGTCACCTGTCCCAGCTCTGCCATGTCTGCACAAGCCCATGCCTTCTGCCACTGACAAGAGATGAAAGAAAGTTCTTCGCCAGCTTGTCTATTACTTTTGAAAGTTATATGCACGAGTTTCTAGCCTAGGAATGAGCCCTTAGTGGTATGTCAGGTTAACCACAAATGGAAAATGAGTTATGTAGTTTTTAAAAGACAAAGGTCAATGCATATAAAGCACCCACTGCACACTCAGATGATGGTTCTGTTCATTACTGGGGAGATGTCCTTAGTCTGGTGTTCCATGTAAAAGTGGGCAGCTGGGAGAAACTAAGATTTGACTTTGTGATGATGCCTTGCTCTTGGATCCTGGAATCTGTAATCAAGTCTACTCTAATATGTTATAAATATCTAATGCTGAGGATGGCCTTTGAGATCCTGACCCTCCTGCTGCCAGCTCCAAGGCAATGTGTCCTGTGGTGGTTTGAATGGGAATGGCCTCCATAGACTCAGATCTTTGAATGCTTGGTTCCCAGTTGTTGGGACTGTTTGGGACAGATTAGGAGGTGTGGCATTATTGGAGTATATGTGGCCTGAGTGTGAGCTTTGAGATTCAATACACTCTGGGCATTCCCAGTGTCTCTATCTTTGCCTCAGGTTTGTGTCTCAAGTGTGACCTGTCACCTCCTGCACCAGCACCATGCCTCCCAGCCTGATCCCATACTACCTACTGTGGTGGTCATGACCTCTGACCCTTAAAAACTGTAAGCCCTAAATCAAACACTGTCCTTCTATGGTGCCTCAGTCATGGTGTTTTTCATAGCAATCTAAGAGTGAGTAAGACAGAGTCCATGCATGTGTCTCCACAGCTGGGTTTGTACAGAACTGAGGATCCACTCCAGGGCTCCAGGAGTGCTGGGCACGCTCCATGCCAACTGAACCTCATTCAGAGCTCTACACATTTTCAACTTCTAATTCAGGGGGAGCTGAAGCATTATCACAGGTCTTAATCCAAATATGATGTCAAATGGGGACTGCCTGGGCAATTAAGGTGAGGGACTCCTGGAGGGGAGGCAACGAGTCGATCAGATCAGCACTTTGAAAAGGACTATGTCTGTTCAGCAGCACAATATATAATCTGAAGGAGACAATGGGGCAGCCAGATAGCTCCCTATGGAGCTTGCTAGTTTACCTGCTGTGGGTGTGGGGAAGTGTTTCTGCATGGCTCTGCACAGGAATTCCCCCACCCCCGCCCCTGCTGTGTGGGAAATCTTGATTGTGAACCGAGTTTCCTTTCTGTTCTCATCCTGTAAGAGTCCAAGTCCAACTCCAGAGGCACACTCTAGTTCTGTTCACCTTGTTTTTCCTTCCCCTGGGGCCACACTTGACACCCAAAGCAAAACCCAGCCAGGATTCAGGAGGAGCCCATGGGAAGGCTTTCTTTCCTTCAGGGGCAGCATTCCAGACGGTCCGGATCTTGTTAGGTGAATCCGATCTGGAAATTCCAGAGAAACTTTTAAAAAGCCAGTTAAGGGTAGGAGAGTTGAGGGTACACGCTCTCCAGCGAGAGCCAGTGCTGATCTGAGGGCAACGCCTTCATTAGGTGGAGTCAGGCATGCTCATGCGGAGGCATGTCATTGGTCTGTCCTTCCGTAGTTTCTCTTTCTTTTTCTGCGCTCAAACTTTCGTTTCTCTAGCTTGCAGTAGGAAGTACCTTAAAGTTCTGGATTGGTGCGTCAATTCTCCGTGATTTACAGCCTTCGGGTGTCTGGTGGTTGGTTGAGCAATATTAGGGGACCGAGTTTTGGAGGACTTTTGAAGAAAAACATCGCTTTTGCTTGAGTGAGTTTGTCGTCTAAAAAGGGGGTGGAGAGGGAGGGGCTGCTGGCCTCTGGCCGAAAATGCAAATGGAGGAGCATGAGGAAGGGGCTGCCAGGAAAAAAGGAGTAATTTAAAGGTGGCTTTGACCCAGATCCTGGGTCCTCCTGCCACTTCATATTCTATACTTTTGACTTGTACCTTGTCCGAGAGATCTGGAGCGGGGGATCGAACCCAGAGCTTTTTGTTTGCTAGGAAAGAGCTTTACCACGGAGCTAAACCCCCTACCCTGGAGCTCTGTTTTCTAATACAGTCCCTTTCCCTACAGCTAAGCTGAGTCAGAGCCTCTGCTCTTTAAGGCTTTTTTTGTGTGTGATAATATGGCATTTCCTCATACTCTAGAACAGTGGTTCTCAGCCTGTGAGTCGCGACCCCTGTAGGGTGGAGTGAGCCTTTCACAGGGGTCACATATCAGATGTTTACATTACAACTCCTTACAGTAGCAAAATTACAGTTAGAAGTAGAAACAAATATTAGTTTATGGTCGGGAGTCACCCCAACATGAGGAACTGTATTAAAGGGTCACAGGCTTAGGATTGTTGAGAACCTAGGGACTCCTAGGGCTTCTCTCTGTGTTTAGTAATAGAGGCTGTGGGCCTGTTGTCTAGCCACTGACCTTTTGTTAATGCCCCAAGCCAGGAAATGACTGCTGTTACTTCCTTCTCCTTCAGCCATTTCCTGAAAAGTGAAGTAGTGCTCCACTCAGCCTGAGAGTCCAGCTACACAGAAGGCAAGAGGATCAGAAGTTGAAGGCCTTTATGGGCAACTCAATAAGACTCATTCATAAAATATATATATATATTTAAGACTTATTTATTTATTGTGTAACAGTGTTCTACCTGCATGTATGCCTACAGGCCAGAAGATGGCACCAGATCTCATTATAGATGGTTGTGAGCCACCATGTAGTTGCTGAGAAGTCAGGACCTGGGGAAGAGCAGCCAGTGTTCTTAACTCCTGAGCTGTCTCTCCAGCCCCTCATAAAATATATCTTAAAATGTTTGTGACTTAGCGCAGTGTTAGGGTGCTCCTCAGGTTTTTGGTTCAATTCCAAGGTAGGGAGAAGAGCATGATTGAAGATGGGAAAATGAAGGACTAGGATAATGCTCAGAGGTAATAGCAAGCCATAGCAGAAGTCTGGCAGTGACAGCACATGCCCTTAATGCGATCACATGGCAGGCAGAGTCTGTGTGTTCAAGGATACAGCCAGCATGGAGACACACGCCTTTAATCTCAATACCAACCACAGAAGACCTGGAGGTCTGTATAGACAGGCAGTGACGAGGAGGTCATGTGGTTGGGTTTACAACCAATGAGAAGGCAGAACAGAAAGTCAATAAAAAAGATACACCGGAAGTAGGTCTCATTCAGAGGGGAAGGATGGCAGCGGCAGCAGTGAGGGGTAAGAAAGGGTTTTAGGGGCTGGAGAGATGGCTCAGAGGTTAAGAGCACTGACTGCTCTTCCAGAGGTCCTGAGTTCAATTCCCAGCAACCACATGGTGGCTCACAACCATC